CCCTGAACTGGCGAGCAAGGCCGCTGTTCACTCTTGGGTGAAATGCTGGGTTGGGTTCCTATGAGCCTCCGATCCTTTTTCCCATGAATGAGTACATTAGCACTACTCCATATGCCTATCTGCAATGACATTACGTACACAGCCCATTCATTACTGTGAACTAAGTCTGCAGCACTCTAACTCATGCCTGAATGAAGCTCATCTTAACATACCTGTTTTCTCTGTAAAACACACCAGTCTCTTCAACACTTGGAACTACTATAGAGCACCATAAGAACGCAAAATACGTGTCAGTGAACAAAATATAAAAAGGGTATCTGTTACTGAAACCCCAAACAAGACAACAAACACCTTGTTTGATTTCAGCTGGGAATGTACACACACCACACTTCAAAATTTTCACTGCCATGTGCACGTCCACGAATAACTAAAAATGTGCGGCCAGGTATTGATTTGGGAGATTATGAAAGAACTTCAGCAAACAGGATATTAACATACGGAATCCATGAATAATGTGGGTTAACTTTTTCATTTCCCTTTATTGAAAGCTGCATTCTTATATCTTTAATCATATATAGATTCCTTCCAATTAGAATATGTATAAGCCTTGAGGTGTCAACATGGCTCCAACCACTGGCCTAACACACCTGAATCCCTGGGTTCAATCCCGAGGTCAGGAAGGTATATATTTCTTGACTAATGACTATCAAGTTGGTTAATACTGTTGTCATTCTATGAATTCATAATTCAAACTTTAGCATGCACAGGAGCAGATTCCCCCACAGAAATTTTTCTCTATCCATGTTAAACCAAAAGAAAACGAGCAACCATTTTTTTTCCAAGGCAAAAATGGGTAGTCTCTGTTTACACCTAAATTTATATAAAACGTTTTTCTTAAAAACTCAATGTGATGTGAAATAAGGAGAATTAACCCCTAAAAGGTCATTCATCTGAACTACGGGCTGCCCAGAAAAATTAAACTCTATCAAATCGAAAAACAGAAAATTAAATTTATTCTTTATTCTTACAGAATAAAATTTAGCAACAGCCTCAAATTAGGATTTGCATTGAGCGAAGCCTTTCAAGTAGGAACCGAAAAGCTCACTAAGCCACCGGGCCATTTTTAACCCATCCACCAGGCAGAAGAGATGCGCTGGACTTCCCGGATGGACACGTTCCCAAGGGGATTCAGAGACAGGGATTTTCCCTCCCCAATCAGTGTGTGACTGGGGTCAAGGCTTCCAAATGAGCTTGCAGTTACAAGTGCATAAGCATGAACGGAAGAGCAAATGGCTTAAAATGGAATAAAAACACTTCTCAGAGAGAAAAAAAAAAAAAAAAAAAAAAAAACTCAAAAAGGGATCAGGGGGCTGAAACCTGGGCAAAACCGGAGGCCCTCTTCTAAAAGCTGGTGGGCTGGCGCCCGCGCCTGCGCTCCGGAGACATAGAGGAGCGCGGGGCGGGCCGCGGGGCCGGTGCGACAGGTGGATGGCCTCGCGGGGCCGATCGGGCGCGACGGAAGGAAGGATACGAGGGCAACGCCCGCTAGCCTTTCTTTCCTCCTCCATTAACTCACCAAGTAAACCACCCAGAGAAGACCAGGGAGAGGAAGAGGAAAGGAAAGCAGCTTCGGCACCGCCAAGGCAGCCTCAGCCGGCACGCCCGCCCCAGAGCCGCTGCATCTGCGCTTGCGCCGATTGCGCTGCGCCGCGAGGCCGGCCACGTGACCGATACGCCCCGCCCACTGACCCGCGGCTCCTCCCCTTACCGGACCGCTCGCTCCGCCCCTGCAGGGGCGCGGCCTGCGTGTTGGAGATTATTGTGTGACGCCTGCGCACCAGCCACGCTCTCTAGTGTAGCATTTTTCTTCTCGGATGCACCAAAGAAAAAAAAAAGTGAATTTTTTTGAGTGTGTGTCTGGGGGAACACTGTTTTCATGTCGTCTTTCCCAAAGGCGCAGGAACGTTCTTACGTATTTCTCAGGCAGAAGGAGTTACAAAATAGGGACCAGAGAAAACCAGCCCGCCACTGCCCGTTTCCTAGCAACTGTTTCCACAGCAACCACTCGGTCGACAACGCTAAGCAGTCTCAGGAGGAGCAGAATAGTTTCTTCCTGAAAAGGGGTTGCTACGAAAGGGTCAAAGGGAGATTATTATACGAAAGAGAAAATTTAGTTCCTTGTTAAGAGAGCAAGAAAAGAAAAAAAAACGGCGAGAAAAGGAGCAGAGACCGTGGCATAGGTAGCCAAAAGTTGAGTAGTTGTTAAGGAATCCTTTGGTGGCCATGGACCCATCCTGCACTTCTGAGAGTATTTATAACCTCATACCCAGTGACTTGAAGGAGCCGCCCCAGCCTCCTAGGTATGTGGGTAAGCAACAGTGACTTCGGCTCAGAGGAAGCATGGTGACGCCTTTTAAGGACTTACTGGGCTTGCATAGCGTAGGACTTTTAAAATTAAAGTCTATTTTTGTTTTAATGAAATAACCTTGGGTGGCAACTTAAAGAACAGGTGAACAGATCTATTTAGCTTTTCCTAATTCACAGAGGACGTGGGCTAGTGCTGTGAGACGGTCATATTATGGCCATAGTCTCCTGCTAACATGTAATTATTGATCCAGTTATAGGTGGTGTGGTGTCTAGTGCGAAATTTCATGTCGTTAGAAAGAGAAAAATCAGTTTTATCAGTCCGTTTTAGGAAATTCTGTGTTTGATTTTAGGAATTCCGTGTCGTATTTGACTTTGTGATCTCTCTTTTTGTACTCTTTTGCCTCCCATACTTCTTGTCTAAATTGAATTCTCAAATTTGCTTCTAGGCCTTGGTACTTGAATGGGGTTAAACAAAGATGGTGGACTAGAGAATATTTTCTAGGATTTTTTTGGATGGTTTAATGGAAGGAATATAGGTGGATGGATAGAGATTCCAAAATATATAAATGAGGGAATTTTTTTTGGTTATTTATGTTTCTGTTAGACCCCCCCCCCCCAAAAAAAAATCTCCAAATCTCAAAGAGGAAACTTCAAAATAAATGTCCCGGATACTCTGCCCTGTAGCTACTTCTTAAACTCTGTTGATGTCTGAGAGGGGAGAAGAGGGCAGTCTCATTTTGACTCATGAAGGTCACAGCCACTTTAAAAGAACCAGCACTTAGGTTCGCATACCTATTCCAGCATCCAGGAAGCTGAGTTCAAGGCTAGCCTGGGCTACAAAGGCAAACTCTGTCTCTAAAACCAAACAACCAAGAAAAGAAACCAACCCTCTGAGCTTTAAAAATCAAGATTTACAAATCATTGTTTTGGAGGCGTAGAATCAATTTTCAGTTGTTTTCTGATGTGGAAAATAAATGAGATAAACATCTCTAAGGTTCCCTCCAAATGTAATGGTCAACTTCTTGTTACTTGGAGTTGTAACAGCAAAGTGTAACTCCTTCCATTTTAAGCTTGAGTAGCTTAAACCAGAGCAATCACAAATATTGTACTTCCATTGGCTTATCAAAATCTAGTTGAGGTCAGGCAGGGACATAAATGCTGACACACTTGTGGAGTTTACAATGTTCACATTACTGGTGGCTAAATTTGGTCCAAAATTTCCATAGACTGTACCAGATAAACTTCCTCTTCTCTATAACACACCAAAAGAAACTGCCTTCTATGGAATACTGAATTTGGATGTCATTTTATTAGTTCAGCATTCTATTAATTAGTAAAGAGCTTACTGCACCAGGGAATTTTGAGGTTTTTTTTTTAAATAACAATTCATCTGGTCCCTGCTCTGTGTATAACAGTGCCCTAGTATTCTTGCACATGTCTGAAGAAATAAGTACAATAAAATACGTACCTAGGATGGGAAGGAATAAAGGAGGTGCCCTAAATAAGGTGAAGTCAGTTTCCCTGTTAGCAGTAATGGTGAGAGGGTTTTGACAAGATGCCACACACGCAAACTACTGATTTGTTTTTAAAACAGGATAAAACATTCACCCTTTTCCTTCACCACACTACTGTGAGCTTGTTCCCCTCAGCCTTCTCATTAATAGACTTGATCACAAGAAAATATTTAAGTACAAATCCTGTTTGCATCACTGAATTATAATCTGAGCCCCCGGGGAGCTGGCCACGGCTTTGAAGCCCTGACAAAGACTCCTCACTGGCTGCACTGTGATGTCCCACACGTCAGAGTTAACAGTCTTCTTGTTGGACAGAATTATGAACATTAAAATGTTGATTAAGCCCAAAGTAATGTATTATTTAAAACCCTAATGAAAGTTTCAAATAAATGAGTGGAAGAGATATTTCAACATGGCAGTTTGCACTTTCTGACGTATGAATGAAGAGAAGGACATGGCATACAAACGAGGTTTTGTCAGCAAGGAAAATTGCAGCTGCCGTGTTCATCTGAGTCACCACCTCTCACCCATGTTTCTGTAGCGAGGATGCAGTAAAAACGGTTAGCACACCTCACTGGAATTCTACCTACAAACCACCGGGGAAAGAAAATATGCCAACACTACCAGTTAACGTTAGCTGCCAAGGAAATCTGTAGATAAGTGAACCTGTTCAGAACATTGTTCTTTACAGAACAAGGTTTACCATCTTATGCAAATGACTCTGTGGGGTATATTGTGATATGAGAAGCCATTTTAAGATGTTAGGAACTTAGGCCAGTTGTTAGATTCACCAGAATTCAAATTTTTAGCGAGTAAGACTGTGTCTTTATTTTACCCAGGACTCAGGAAAAAACAAAGTATTAAATTGATTTAGTTTAAAAAATTAACTCAGCTGGGCATGGTGGCCCACACCTTTAATCCCAGCACTTGGGAGGCAGAGGCAGATGGATCTCTCAATTCAAGGCCAGCCTGGTCTACAAATCAAGTTCCAGGACAGCCAGGGCTACACAGGGGGGAAACCCTGTCTCAAAAATCAAAACAACAAAAAAAACCCTCAACATACATGTCTACTAGTAAGAAGAAACACAGATACTGTTGCAACTGGTACTACCCAAAGAATCATGTCCAACCTACTAGTACTTCGGATGTTCCAGACACTTATTTTTCACAATCACTATTCACTCCCACAGGAACTCCATTAGATGATTAGTATTATCTTAATTATATGGAAGAGAAAAACTCAGGTCCAGAAAGTCGAAGCAGGTAAGAAGGACAGGAGCTAAGACTGCCACATGTCTGACAGCAAGGTCCAAAACTGGCTCATCTTGCACACTGCCCAAAGAAGGGTCGGAAACCGGATGGATGCCGCTGCTTCGGTAGCGTTCGCCTTTGGTTGCTGACAACTTCTCAAGTGTCAGATACTGTTAAGTGTCCATACACTGTTTTCTTCCCCTACAATAAGAGATGTTGCGATGAAACTATGGTGACAGAAAACTCCGATGGCATTACAGATGAGATGGAACACGGCACGTGTGCTTGGAAGTCTTAAATCTGTCTCAGGTTAGACTCGGCTCTACCAGAAAGCAGTCAGTCATCCACAAAGGAAGAAACGTGACTCCAGGTCACTGCGTCACGGGCAAACATTAAACTGTCATCGAGCAGAAGTATGGGGCCCTTTATAGGGAGACTCGAATATGCATCCTCATGGATCCTGGATCGATGACACACTGTGGGATGAGGACAGGGGTCAGCGTCAGTCCCACAAGGAATGTGCCATGTTTCATTGGTCTGATACTACTTCAGTGCCAGCATAATTTAATGAAAGCAGTTTGAACAAAAGTGTTGTTCTCTAGTTTAACTGGGTAGATTTTCCTGGTATTTGGGTCAGCGCTGTCCAGTAGGAATGTAATACACTAAAACATTTTCTTACAGTCATTTTTAAAAGAAAAAGGAAGGCAAAAGCAAAACTCACCTTAATGATGTACCTTGTTTCACCCAGTGTATCTCCAGGACAGTCATTTCAGTATGTGGCACTAGACCCATTTCGAGTGTTTAATATCCACAAGTACTGAACAGCAGAAATCTAAATGAATATATTGACTGCATTGACATTTGCCAACTTATTTTTTTCTCAGTAGCTTATGAGAGATCATAATTAGACTCAATGAAACACACCTGCATTCCTGGTGATAAATTAAGTACAGAGTGTACCTGGGACAACTAACCAGTCTGAGAGTGGAATTTCATCTGTTTTTTTAAAAAATAATTACTTTATATAGTCAAAAGGATGAACTGAAAATCATTTCAATGCCTGTAGGTGAACTTACACAGTATCTAACTAAATGTAATAAAAAAAAAATCTCAAGAAATAGTTTGGAGGACTTTATAACATAGTTCAAGCCCCAGAGTCAATATTAATCTAAAATTGAAAGCACGTGCACACGTGCACTCTCTCTCCCTCTCCCTCCCCCTCTTCCTCTCCCTCTTCCTCTCCCTCTCCCTCTCTCTCTCTCACTGTGGTTTCTCAGATGTCTCATTCACTGAAAGGAAAAGCTGAAGTTCTTTCAAATTACCAGCACATTTGAGCATATTACTTCTTTGTGTGTCATTTTAAAATGTTATAAAATGGATTACTATATGGTGATTGTTAGCAGTAAAATAGTTATAGTATGTTAGTTGAGGATGACAGTTTTAGTTTCAAAATAACTTATCTCTAGCCCAGTCTAATATAAGTAGACAGCAAATCCAGTTATCTGATAAAACTACCTGCTACATCTTTAGAGTAAAGCCACACAATTTCAAAAATGTAATAAAATGTAGCTATTTAAAAGAATATGCATTGCTGGGCAGTGGTGGCACACTCGGGAGGCAGAAGCAGGCAGATCTCTGAGTTCGAGGCCAGCCTGGTCTACAGAGTGAGTTCCGGGACAGCCAGGGATACACAGAGAACCCTGTCTTGAAAACACAAAAACATAATAATAATAATAATAATAATAATAATAATAATAATAATAAATAAAAGAATAAGCTTTGTATATACTGATATGAAAAGGTATCACACTATATCATATTTAAAAAATAAAGTTTCACATATACATGTACATATATCTATGAAACAACAAGTATTGTAAAAGAGTCCCATGAATTTGATAAAGAGCAAGAGAAGTATATGGAATGGTTAGGAGGGAGGAAAGGAAATAGAGAAATTATGTAATTATAAATCTCAAAAAAAAATAAAAGAAATAATCAAATATGTATATATATATATGCAAAGCTGAGAATTTTGATGACTGTTAGTGCCTAAGGGGAAGAAAACTTAAAAAGACAACAACAGATTAAAGCTGCAATTTCTATAGATAAACACAAACTGAATTTACACTGTAAAATCAATTGGAGAAATTAAGGGAAGGGAATGAGATTATTATTCATTTGTAATTAATTTGAAACAAAAATTGTTACAAATATAGAATAAAATATCAGAGTTTTATGTGACCAATAAATGTTTTTTGATTCATATACACACAAAAAGTACTGAATCACACATTTTCAAACTAAGAAGGAGGTGGCAATAGACACACCCTGTTTCACATAAAAGGAAATTCCCTTATTGATGGTGACACCTTCTCTGTCATCTTCCACAGAAGCTCTAAGGCCTGGGTCTGGCCTGAAGATTGCTTCCTGAAGTTGTCTTGTGATGTATACATTTCCAAAATGTTCCCAGCTACTGAGTTCTCGGTTGAGGAAAAGCCCTAAAACATAGAAACAATCTGTGTTCGCAGACACGTTTGTGTATCCTCATGGGCATGAACTGATAAGGTGGATACCAGGCACGGAGAAGGGGGCGTGATCAGAGTGAAGTTGTACAGACAGGAGATTGTCAAAAATTAAAAACCCAAATTAGAAACAGACCAGGTAGAAAACAGATTACCCCAAATTCCACATCCCTAAGGATTCAAACAGTTATATTTTCATGTATTTCCTTCTGACAATATTAGTGCAGATATTTTGCTATATTTTTAACTTGGGTAGTAGATGTTACACACACAATTTTCATAACGTCATCAGGTCCTGGGAATTTTCTAAAGTTATTGAGTATTCCACAAAATGGAATCTATTTTTAATTACTATTAAACCAAAAAAAAAAAAAAAAAGATAGCCAAACTTTGGCTTCCACGTGAGGGTGGGGTTTGTTCTTTCACCAGAAAGAGTCGGAGGAGAGGACACCTGGAACTAAGGGTTTCAAACACCAGAGAGTGGACAGCAGAGAGCAACCCTCCCTGAGAGAAGGAGCAGGAATGAGGCAGCCTGCAGATGCCCTAACAGACACTCCAGAGACTACTTCCCGGCCAAAGTCCAAAGAAAGGAAAAAAAGCCCTTGATTATCCCAGAATTAAGAAGACAATTTGGAGTCGGAAAGACCAAGATCTAGAATGCACAGTGAGGTGCACCAGAGAGCAGAGAACTGCCTAGAGAGGGACAGAAGCCTGCATGAGATTTCCTTGAACTCCTTGATTGATAGTGTACATATGTATGAAATACAACACCAAGAAAATGACCCTCAGAAAGCAGCAGCATTCACCAGCCAGTGGTGAGGACTTCTTATACACAGGGTAGAATCGGAGCAAAGTTCTGAGGCTGAAGACTTAATATCTAGCCTTAAAATGACCACTTTTTCAACTATGACAACTGCATTCCAGACTCAAGCTAAAGAAATGTTAAAACAATAGAAAAAGAAAAAGTTAAAAAAAAAAGTCAGGAATCAACGCTATAAAGTTCACATTACTTGGCATCCAATAAAAAAAAAAAAAATGTAGAAGCAAGCCAGGCATGGTGTTGCGTGCCTTAAATCCCCATACTTGGGAAGCAGAGGCAGGTGGATCTCTGATCTCTTCAGGGTCAGCCTAATCTACAGAGTGAGTTATAAGACAGACAGAGCTATAGAGAGAGAGACTCTGTATCAAAAAACAAGCAAACAAACAAACACAAATACCAACAACAATGTCCAGGCGTGCAGAGAAACAGGAAAATATAAGATCTAGCCTAGAGGAAAAGCAGCCAATCTAAGTAGCCAAAAGTGTCACAAATCAGAAAATTACTAGACAAAGGCATTTAAAGCAGCTATTTTAAATATCACGTTCAAAGAGAAAGGGACTAAGATATGGGGAGAAATGAAAGGGGGTGGGGAGATACAAGTCTAACTTCTAAATGTGGAGAAGACCATGTCCAAAGTGAAAACAGCACATTGAGTGGGCTAGCAACAGCGAAGGCACTAATGAAGAAAACAGAAGCAAATCTAATGACACCACAACAACACAAAATGAAACATGGGGAGTAAAGACCAGAAAAGAGAACAAGGCACTGGCGAGCTAGGGACAATGTCAGCCGACTTGTAAGTCAGGCGTGGTGGTGCCTACCTTACATCTCTCTCTCTCCCATGTGGTCCAAGGGTCAAAAACAGGTCATCAGGCTTCCTGACAAGTCCCTTAACCTGCTGAGCCATCTCACCAACCCACAATTATAGACTAGAAAGCACATTAAGATCAAATGACACAGACATACAAATGAAAAGTGACTGGCTCAAATTTCTATGTAGTCTGTGAGAACATCCCTTTAAAAATAAAGATATCAAGCACAAGAACCGGCCGATTCAGCGATCTGACTGGCTTGGGTGGGGGTCCCCTTCCTCACCACCTCAGGTGTGTCCCTCTCAAAGCCCCGTGCTGGGGAGAGGAGGAAGACTTTTCCCTGAGACAGGGAGCACCATTCTTCAGTCAAGGGAATGCAGTTGAGAGACTAGCTGTGTTTCGTCCATGGTACAACCTCTCCAGGGTATACAGAAGCGTTGGTTTCTGTTTTTAAGGACTGAAGCCATACAAAGTATATTCTCCAACTATAGTGGAAATAAATTAGAAATCTGAAAAGATAAATGAGAACCCTGAATCTGTGAAAACTGAGCAAACACATGCAAGTAAACGTCTAAAGGAAGACAGTATAAAAGGTATTAGGGTTGCATGAAAATGGAAGGTGTCCTTTCTTTTCTTTTCCTTTTTTTCCAAGACAAAGTTTCTCTGTGAAGCCCTAGCTGTCCCAGAATACATTTGGTAGACCAGGCTGGTCTCTAGCTCAGAGATTTGCCCACCTCTGCCTCCCAAGTGCTGAGATTAAAGGTATATGCCTCCAAAGCCTGGTGAATGATGTCCTTTCAAATGTTTGGGATGCAGTCAAGGCAGTGCTTAGAGGAAAGTGTATAGCTTTAAAAACTCAGAAAGTCCTAAAAGTTAAAAATCAAATATATTTGTATTTATAACTTAAGAAACTTTTTTTTGAAAAGCAAATTACATGTAAAGCAAGAAGAATAAATATTAAAGAGCAGTGAAGAAATCATTGAACTAAAACATGAGTGACCACTAGAGAAAATCAGTGAATTTGGGTTCATTGAGGAGATGATTAAACTGCCAGCAAGACTGACTGGCTAGGACTTGGGGTGGGGAGACACAGCACTAAGATCAGCAGTGAGAGATGAGACAATCCCAATCGATGCCAGGGATAGACAATAATACGGAGATAAATGAACACCTTTGCCTCCGCATCTCCTTAAACTTCTAGGTCATAAGTGCAGTAGATGCGGTCAGATCATTAAGCTATGCCCATTCTCCTTTATCAATACAGACACATGTAAATCAGACATGTATGCCTGTTTTTAAGCTTTAAGTATTTTGCACTAGAA